ACCACTGCCTGACCTCTGTGGCTGGCTCTGTCCTCTGATCTTCTTTATTTCCTAGATTACAAGCAATATATCACTGCACCCTTATCCACCAAGCCCTCTTGTCAACCCTCTGTTCTCTTTCTACACACGTTTTTAATTTTAATGTATTCCAGTGTAATTCATTGGCTTTTTTTTTTTATCACCCCTGCTCTTACTGTCATATTTAAGAAGGATTCCACAAATTCAGTGCCATGAACTTTTTTTGATATGTAAGGGTTTTGAAGTTTTATCTCTGTGTTTGGTAATTTGCTTTCATTTTTATATATGATATAAGTTAAGAGTCTGGCGGGGCTGGAGAGATGGCTCAGTGGTTAAGAGCACAGACTGTTCTTCCAAAGGTCCTGAGTTCAATTCCCAGCAACCACATGGCGGCTCACAAATATCTGTAATGATATCTGGTGCCCTCTTCTGGCCTGCAGGGACACATGCAGACAGAACACTGTATAAATAATAAGTAATTATTAAAAAAAAAAAAATTAAAAAAAAAAAGAAAAACTAAAAAGAAAGATAAGAGTCTGGCTTCGTATATATGGATGTTTTATTTCTCTAGCACTGTGTTGAAAACTGCTGCTCCATTAACTGATTCTAGGGTCCTTGTCCAATCAGCCTTTGTTTTCAGTATTTGTTTTTTCTGTTAAAGTATTTGTAGGTAGTGATTAGCCTAGTGATCCTTGAAAATATTCTTTTTTTTTTCTAAAAAGATCCCATCCTAGAAAAATGTTCCTAAGGATGTTGACACTTAAACTAATTTAAAAGTACTTGCTCATTATTTACATACAACCAGGTATTAAATATGCTGATTACAAGTGTAAGTCTTTGCCTTTGTCTTCAAAATTTTTTGGCATTTTTTTCTCTTACAGTGCATAAACAGAGGAAAATTGCAGTGGTTCAGCCAGAAAAACAGTAAGTAATATAATAGATGTCTAAACAGTTCAGGTTTGAAATTTAGAATATCTAGGGGAAAATAACTGTTAAAGGGAATTTGTCTCCTTTGTGTTTTTTCTCAGATGGAAGCATATACTTTTAACTCGAATTTGATAGCTTATATATTTCTCTCATACACCTTTCCTAAAATTGCACTGTAAATTAGGCATGGTGGTGTACATCTATAATCTTAGCTACTTTAAAGGCTGAGTCAGCAGGATCATTTAAGGCAGATGTGGATTGTATGGTGGTTTTTTTTTTTTTTTTGAGACAGGGTTTCTCTGTAGCTTTGGAGCCTTTCCTGGAACTCACTCTGTAGCCCAGGCTAGCCTCGAACTCACAGAGATCCGCCTGCTTCTGCCTCTCGAGTGCTGGGATTAAAGGCGTGCACCACCACCACTTGGCCTTGTATTGTTTTAAAAACAATTTCTACTTTTAAAAAATGTGTTATGAGTTAACAGCATTCTTCTATTTTAGATTTACAAGTTGGCCACATTTGCTTTTTTGAAGGAAACCAATCTGCAGGCTTTGCTGGTATTAAATTAATTAAGTTAAATTAAATAATTTCACTATTTTTTTCCTTTGTTTTCTTGACCCAGAATACTGTCTTCAAGAACTGTCCATGAGGGCCTGAAGAATCAGATGAACTCCCCATACTCAGGTATATTATTTGTGACATTGGGTAGAAGAGATTCTTGGATGCCTTTTAATGGACTGTATCTGGAAATAAAGAATACATTTGAGCCAGATGTAGTGGCACATGTCTGTCATCCCACCACTTGGGAGATAAAAGGCAGGAAGATAACCTCAAGTTCAAGGCCAACATGGTCTATATATAAAACTCTGGGTCAACTATAGCTACATAGTGAGACTCTTATCTCAAAATAAAATAAACCAAAAGTCCCTGTACATTTGAAGTATTAATTAAGATGGGGCTTAGGAGATAAGATGTAAGTCTGGATAATGTTCAAAGTTTATCTCTAGGAATGTTGTAGAATACTGAACAATTGATATTTGAAGGACTATAAAAGAAATAACTGACCATCAAGACTAATGGGTTCATGGAGTAGGTCTTCTACTTCCTTTATCATAAGTGTGGGGCTCTAGATTTGTGTTATATTACCCAGGAGTTAATCAACAAATGTAGTTCAGGATAGTGGTAAGTTCCATAAAGTAAATATAAAATATTTAAGAGCATTGTCAGACAGTATGCTAAGCTTCAAAATATGTATTTCCATGGCTGGGAATGTAGTCAAAAGCTTGTATAGCATGTGTAAAACCTCAAAACTCATGTAATGGTGTGTATGTTGGTTGCCACCCCCAACTCATCTTTGGAAACGGAGTAGAGTGAGAATGACTAACTGTGAACACTTGTTTCTTCATTTCCAGTGATGACCAATGGAAAATATTGTTGTCCAAAGATATACTTCAACCACCGTTGCTTCTCAGGGCCATACCTTAACAAGGGAAGAATTGCTGAGCTGCCTCAATGTGTAGGTCCTGGGAACTGTGTTCTGGTACTTAGAGAGGTAAGGTTCTAAGGCAGAACTTGGAAGTTAAATCCGAATTTCTTAGGATCATTCATACAGAGAACCATGTGCCATTGATACAACAACTAGAGGTTTAATCAAATATAACTAACATCTCATTTACAGTAGTTCTCTCTTAGCCATGATGATACAATTCTAAGACTTCAGGTAGTGCCTCGAACTGTGAAAAGCACCAAACCTTATAGATTCTGTTTTTTTCCTGTATGTATTAATACTTTTTTGTTATTGCAACAAGATACTTGAGAGAAATTAGTTATGAAGAAAAAGAGGTTTATTTAGTACATAGTTTTGGAGGCTAAAAAGTTTAAGACCAAGTATCCCTATCGATTTGGCTTGTGGTGAAGTTCCTCTCAACTGTGTCAACTCATAGTGAGAACTACACATGTGAGGAAGAACCATGTTGCCAAGTAAGAAACCGGAGAGAGGCTGTCGTGCTGTCTTCTCTGAGGTCACGTTTCCAGTTTTTCTAAGGACGTCTAGTGTCATTTGCTGATGCTGTAACAACAACAACAACAACAATCTGACAAAAACAGCCTAAAGAGAAAAGGCTCATAATGCACATTGTAATTCACCATTGCAGGGGAGTCAGGCCAGCAGAGACTGGGAACAGCTACTCACATTGTATCACATGCATTAGTCAAGGGCAGATGAAGGATGGAGGTCTGCAGGCTTGTGATCAGCTCCCTAACCCAGGAAGTGCTGCTGCTCACTTATGGGCTGGGTCAATCAGTGTAATCAAGATAATCCCCCACAGACATGCCCATGAGGAGCCAAATCTAGACAATTCCTCACTGACACGACAATTAAAACTAACCATGGCAATTTCCCCCTGGCCTCACTTCTTTAGAATTCTGTCTACATCATACTGGGGACCAAGATTCTGACACATAAGCTTTTGGGAAGCTGGGGGGTTGAGGGGGGCGAGGACACATATTCAAACCGTGTCCAAACCATAACACTTACGATAAAATTTAATAAGTTAGACATGGTAAGTGATTAACAGCAATAGCAAATAATAAAATAGAAAATTATAACAATATACTATAATAAAACTTGATTGAAAGTCATCTTTCATATTACCTTACTAAGTTGTATCTTCTACTGTTACAATGTGAGAGCGGATCAATGCCTACATGATGAGTGGTGTGACATTAGACTACTCTAGGGTTGTTTGAGCTGTGAAGTGTACTGTGGTTTCTCTAGAGCTGATCTGATAACTGGCACAGCTACTAAGAGGCTATAGATAACGTGTACAGCTTGGACACAGTGGGCAGAGATAATCCATATGTGTTGGCAGTGGTACAGGATTTCATCGGCGTACTCAAAATGGTGTACAGTTTAAAGTTTGTGAATTATTTCTGGGCTTTTAAACCACTGCAACTCAGAACACAAAGTCAGTTAAAGCTGGATACTACTGTCCTACATTGCAAATTGGTATACAATTTGTTTCTGTTCCTCAGGGAACATTCACTTAAGAAAATCTTCCAATAGGTTCACCTCTTTCTAAACAAGGTGTTTATCAGAGACTGCTTGAGTACTGTATAGAGGAGACTATATAGAGGAGCTTTTCATACTGCATATGAAAAGTAGGGTGTTGTGATGCATACCTTTAATTCTAAAGGTCTATCAGTTTTAGTTATCTTTGAACCAGCTCTTAGATTCATTGATTCTTAGTGTTACTTATCTCAGTTTCATTAATTTCTGCTCAGATTTTTATTATTTCTTGTCATCTACTGGGTTTAATTTGTTCTTGTTTTTCCAAATCCTTGAATTGTATCACTAAGTAATTTATTTGTGCTTTTTCTGATTTTTAAATGTAGGCACTTAGAGCTATAAGTTTCCCCCCATAGGGCTGCTTTTTATGTGTCCCAAGTGTTTTGTTGTATTGTGTTTTCATTGTTACTTAGTTCCAGGAATTTTCATTTCTTCTTTGACCCATTCATCATTCAGTAATGAGTAGTTTAATCTCTGTGAGCTTATGTTCTTTGGAGAGATTTCTTTGTTGTCAGTGTGAAGTTTTATTGCATTATGGTCAGATAGGATACACAGTTATTTCAGTTCTTCTGAATTTGTTAAGATTTGTGTCTCATGATGTAGGCTGCTGAGTAGAATGTGTTTTAGTTAGTGTTTGGGTGGAGTATTCTGTAGCTAGCTGTTAGGTCATATTTGATATATGTTGTCATTTAATTCTGATGTTTTTCTGTTTATCTTTTGTCCAGATGTCCTGTCTAATGGAGACAGTGGGGTATGAAAATCACCTGCTATTACTGGGTTGTTGATCATTGGTGTCTTTAATTCTAGTAAGAGGTTTTGGTTTGTTTGTTTGTTTGTTTGTTTTAATGAAATTGAGTACTCCAGAGTTTGGCACATACATGTTTAGAGTTGTTAATTGGTCAGAGTAAAGTGTCTCTCTCTTCTAGTAGTTTTAGTTTAAAGTCTGTTTTGCCAGATATTAGGATAGCAATGCCTGCTTGCCTCCTGTGCCCATTTGCTTGAAATACTTTTTTACATCCTTTCACTTAAATGTGGTGACTGTCTTTAAAGCTGAATTTCTAGTAGACAAAAGAAGGATGGAGTTTTGTTTCTTAATCCATTCAGTCAGCTTGTGTCTTTTGAGAGTTGAGACCATTAATATTTAAAGTTATTATTGAAAGGTGTGTGGTTGTAGCCATTTAATTGTGGGGTTTTTGTTGTTGTTTGTATTCTTAGTTGTATTTTGTGTTTCAGCAGTTATAATTTTATTTGTTTTCTGTGAATTGGGGAGGATTCAGGCAGAGGTAGGGTCAGGTGGACTCACAGACTGAGCCAGAGCACAGGATGTGTGGGCCTGACTGGGCCTGGAGGGAGATCTGGCACAGAGCCTGCAGAGTGGGGAGGGCCTGTGCCAGGGAGTACAAGTGGGTGGCTGTTGTCCTTACACCACAAGACTGGCTCCAGGGTCCCCGGCTAGCAGCTGCATGGAGACTGGAGGAGTTGGGAGGGGTTGGGCCAGGGAGCACTGTGTCACCACACCACATGGATGAGGTAGGATAAAGGTCTAAGTTGCATCAGGGTTCATCTTCACATAGTCCAGGAACCAGCAGGTCAGATGGCTGACCATGTGTGGGAGCAAGTGGATTGGCTCTAGGATGCCTTGCCTGAAGTTGTAGGTTCAAACTCTCAAGTTCAGGCTCCAAGTAGTCCTAGATCAACTCAGTGGATGGGATGACTGATGGGAGTGGTAGGGGCATGTGCCTGTAATTCTAACACTTAGGAGGCTGAGGCCGTAGAATTTTGAGTTCAAAGCAAGACCCCATGTTTAAAAAAAAAAAAAGTGTGTGTGTGAGTGTATGTGTTCACTGTAAGATTAGTTTACAACTTGAGGTTGTGTGGCATTGACTAGAATCCATGAGTAAGCTGTGAATTCCGGGGCTTTCAGCACCTTTGGTCAGTGTGCTGCAAGTAACACATTTGAGGACTTGAACCTGTCAGCCTTGAGAAGGGCAAGGCAGAGTCTGAGGAAGCTGGAGTTTCCAGACCCTCTAGCCATCAGAAGGTTGATGTCTGTAGAGTGTCTTTCTCCTGGTTGTTTTTGCCAATTTGGCATAAGCTAGTGCAATTTGGGAAGAAGAGTCTCCACCAGACTGTCAGAAAGTCTCTAGGGCATTTTATTGATTAATGATTGATGTGGGAGGGCCTAGTGCGCTGTGGGCAGTGCTACCTCTGGGCAGGTGGTCCTGCATTGTGTAAGAAATCGGGCTGTGCAAGCCACAAGAACCAAGCCAGTAAGCAGTGTTCCTCCATGGCCTCTGCTTCAGTTTTTGCCACTAGGTTCCTAATAAAAGACTGTAACCTGTAAGTGAAGTAAACCCTTTCCTCCCCAGTCCCAAATAAATACAGTTGTCTGTGCGCCACCATGCGAAAACATTTGGAAGCACATGCTAGAGTACTTTCCAATTTGTGGTGCTTGTTTTTTTCCTGAATGGTTTAAGTAATCTAATTTCTCTTAATTTGTAACTGATATATTTTTGCTTTTATTATTTTGTTAACATTCTTAATATAACTGTAAATAATTTCCAAAATGATCTTGTAAGTCTTAAGGCTAGCAAGTGTGTTAAAAGTCTAATGGTCTTCTTTTTCTCTTTCCTCTTGAACCCACATTTCTGCAGGTCCTCACTTTACTTATCAATGCAGCCTACAAACCCAGCCGTGTCCTTCGTGAGCTCCAGCTGGACAAAGACTCTGTGTGGCATGGATGTGGGGAAGTCCTAAAAGCCAAGTGAGTAGAGTACCTCACCCTTTCCTCTTGTTTGTCATTCACAGGCCTTGGAGCTTCTTGGTAGTGTCAGATCATTTATATCCCCAGAGCAGAGCTGCTGCAGCTGTTGGTGGTGAAGGACCAGGCTGATTTCCCTTTTTGATTTCCTTTCTGTTATATGATAAAAATGAATCTAAAAAATACAAACATAAACACAAGAACAGTTTTCTTAGAGTGGATATAGAGAAAATTATGTTTTAAACGTTTGTGAAAGTTTATGAACGTTTACTATTGCTTTCTGACCTGAAGTTTTTTTTGTGGATGGATGGGAGTTGGCATGTCATATTGTCCATGAGCCATACTTTGAGGATCACTGCTCAGGATAAAGGAAGATTTAGTAAAAAGGGTGCTTTTGCAGTAGTTAGTAAAAGTAGTATTTAAAATTCTTCAAGGCTGGGGAACAGAGCTCAGTGGTAGAGTACTTCCCTAGCATGCTTGAGGCCCCTGGGTTTGATCACTTGAATGAATAAATAAATGCATGATTACATATATACACACACACTTTTACCTAAGGACAGAAAGCAAAAGCTTTTTCTTTCTTGTTTAAATAACTTAATTTTTAAGTTATAGCATACCAGATTTAAGTATAGACTTAAGTACAGACTGTAGAACTTCCTTTTGGTTTTAAGAGTTCTCAAATTATAGGGGCTGGAAGGATGTTTCAACGCTTAAGAGCACTGGCTGCTCTTCCAAAGGATCCAGGTTCAGTTCCCAGAATCCATATGGCAGCTCACAGCTATCTGTGACTCCAGTTCCAGGGGATCCAAAACATTCACAGAGACAGACATACATGCCACCAAAACATAAATGCACATAGAATAAAAATGAATCATTAAAAAAAAAAGAATTCTCAAGCTATGAAAGACAAGTAAGCTTTTCAGCATGCTTCTGTTAAAGTTTTCTTAGGGTAATCATTGGTGGAATAAATTTGACATCTGATGTTTTCTAACTGTAGATATAAAGGAAAGAGTTACCGAGCTACTGTTGAGATAGTGAAAACAGCGGATCGGGTGACTGAATTCTGCCGGCAGACATGTATCAAACTGGAATGTTGCCCTAACCTCTTTGGTCCACGGATGGTTCTGGATACGTGTTCTGAGAACTGCTCTGTTCTTACAAAGACTAAATACAGTGAGTAATGGTTTTCAGATGTGTTAGCCATAACATTTGCCATGTTACATCTTGTAGAGACATTCATGTTATCAAAAGCACAAGATTTTTCTATAAAGGATCATCTAGATGATGAATACACTGTTGGTTATGTGATCTCATTTATTCTGTTTTTGTTGTTTATTGTATGTTAAAAACTCTACAATTGAAAGAATCAAGGAGGAATTCATTTTTACAGAAAATTATATTAGATTTTTACATTACTTTGCTACATAGACAATATTATCCCCTTCTTTTCCTCCCTCCCTCCCTCCGTGTGGTATTAGGTATTGAACCCAGGACTTCATGCATGCTAGGCAAGCACCCTGTCTCTAAGCTACATCCCAAGCCCCCCTTTTCTTCCTGTGTGTGTGGGAGGGAAGTTGGAAGTGTTGAGGTCTTTGTTGGTTTAGATTGGCTTTGGTTTGTTTTTTCAGACAAGGTCTTCGTATGTAGCCCAGGGGTGCAGTACCGTGCCCAGCTCTCGTTTTGAAACACTCTTTCTGTGTAGCCCTGACTGACCTAAAACTAGGTAGCTTTGGGTTGCTCAAGCTTGCTGTTGGCCTTACTCCGCCCTCCAGTTACTGGGATTGTAGGCATACACCACTGTGTCAGCTCTTGCATGTTGTTGTCTCTATATTCTAAACTCTAAAGAAAAATAAGAAGTATTTAGAATACCCAAACTTTGAATCCTGAAAAAAGAACACAAATAACGTGGAAGGACTTAGTGTTTTTTAACCATAAGAGACGGTTGTGGTCATGCAGAAACGCAAATGTTAAAGAGTAGTGGAGTGAAATAAAGTGGAACGTAGAAGATCAAATGATTCCAACAAGGGTGACAGACCGTGAAGCAAGAACTCAATTTAACACGGTACCAGTAACAGTGGATAGCCAAACAGAAAAATGAAAACCAGACTCCTCCATCATACAACATAAAAAGTCAGTTTTAGACTTATAGATGCCTTATGTAAAAACTAAAACTAAAGAGCTTCTAGAAGAAAGCAAGAGTAGTCTCAAAACCTCAAGACAAGCAAAGACTTCTTAGTGAGGACCCAGAAATACTGATGACATAAAGGAAACACAGAAGAACACCAAAATGGAGAACTCTGTTTTTTGAATAATGCCATTTTAAAAAGAGGAAGCCAAACCATGATGTTGGGGAAATATGTGTGTATCTAGCCAAGAATTCTCTCCAGAACATTCTATGAATTTCCACAACTCAGTAATAAAAAGGGAAGTTATGAGATGATACAGAGCAGATAGCCGCGTGCCATTTTGAATATGCTAACTACCACTGAATTGCATACTTAAAATAGCTAATTGTATGTTATATGAATTTTGGATCAATTAAAATAAAAAAAAATAGAAACATGTCTAGAATTAGTGTTGATGATTTCACACAGCAGTTACTGCACTGAAGCCAGTAAACAGTCCACCGGGTGAATTTTATATGTGAATTTTTCTCAGTAATTTTTTTAAATGTAAAAAATAAAAAGTGATTACAACTCAGTGGTAGGGTACTTGTCTAATCTTGGGTTCAATCTACATTGTCACTTTGTTTTGTTTTTTAAAATAAAAAGAAAACAGTTTTAAACAATAAAAGGCTTGCACAAACATCGTGGAAGATGATATACAAATGTGCAGTAAGCACATGAAAATGACTCAATAGAATTTGTTACTTGGGCAACAGAAGTTTGAGATTTTTAGTAACATGGATAGAACTTCGGGATGTTACTATAAGAGAAGCAAATCAGACACATGAAGAAAAATACTAAATATCCCCACTTCTATGTGGGAGCTAAAGTTAGTAATAGAACAGTACTTGCTTACCAGAGCCTAGGAAGAATGTGCAGGAGGTGGGGGTGGAGAGTGTTGTTTGCTGTACAATAATGCAGTAGGATTGGAGGGGTAACTTTTTATGTTTGTGTGCACCTTTGTGTGTAGAGGCCCCAGGACAGAGGTCTGAGATGCCTAGGAATACCATCTGCCTCCTTTAAGACAAAGGAGGTATTCTTGGAGATCATTCTTAGACTGATCATATGGAAGGTTAACTTTTGGCAACATTTAATTATATGTTTAAAATACTTAGTAGAGAGGATTTCAAATGTTAGTAGTACAAAAAATAAACATTTAAAGTAAAATCTATATTGTTTAACCAGATCTTATTCTTATATATTATACAAATATATTGGATTGTCATGATGTACCACATAAATCTACGTAATTGTTATTTTTTTAAGCTACAATGAGAAATTTCCACACAAACACTAAATTGTTTAAAACATCAGCAGATTAATTATTAGGTATTTGTGTAAAACAATGAAAACACACCCTGTTTGAGCCTTGTTTGAGAGGCTAAAGAAATAGCTTTGTGGCTAAGAGCACTTACTCCTCTTGCAAAGAACCTGAGCTCTTCATTACAACTTTATTAATTATGATCAAAACCTGGATATGGCCCAAGTGCACATCAACAGTGAAGTCAATGAATGGGTACATCTATATAATAGAATCCTACTCACCAACATAAAGAATGAGCTACTTAAATGTTATATATGCAGCACAGATGAGATGAAGATGAATCATAGTGTATGAAAGAAGCAATTCATAAAGCATTGCCTACTGCATGGTGCTGCAGAGAGCAAGTTCATCTGCACTGAAGGAATTAGGAAAGAGGTTAGCCTGCAAATGAATGACTGGGGCCCTGAGAACTCTCTGTATTGATGGGGAGGTTGTGTGCCTCAATAAAGTGAGGATTGTTTACATTTTTACATGATAGTACAAAAATCAAATTATGTATTTCTCTGCTTATTCCAGTGTATGGAATTTAAACTACAAATGTAGTATACCCATTTTCTGCTGTGCTAATGAAATCCTGTGGTTTTGAGGTACACAACAATAATGGAGCTACTTTTTTCCTTCTTTTTGGTCATTTATATTTAGCACACTATTATGGAAAGAAGAAAAATAAAAGAATTGGAAGGCCACCTGGTGGTCATAGTAATTTAGCTTGTGCCCTGAAAAAAGCCAGTAAGAAGAGAAAAAGGAGGAAAAATATTTTTGTTCATAAGAAGAAACGCGCGTCTGCATCTGTTGACAATACCCCAGTGGGCTCACCCCAGGTATGAGATCTGTGGCATATCTGTCCTTTGTAGGGGCCAGATGACCACTGCTTTACAGTCTGTACACATAGTGCCTGCACATTTTTGTCATCTCAGTCTCTGGTCAGTAGATGGTTTTGTGGTCCAGTGACTACTGCTCTGTCCTGAGTTTGAGTGAGATTTCTCTCCTTTTCCTCTAGGGCAGTGGGGGTGAAGATGAGGATGATGCTGATGAGGGAGATGAGGATTCGCTAAGTGAGGACAGTGCATCCGAACAGCAGGATGAATTACAGGAAGAATCCGAAGTGTCAGAAAAAAAGTCATGCTCCCCTTCTCCCCCCCAGAACGAGATGCCCACCCCACTGCCCCCAGACACAGAGATGAGTAAAAAAGAACTCCGCACTCCTTCATTCTCAGATGAGGAAAATAAGCCTCCTTCACCAAAGGTACCTTGTTTAAAAGAAAAAAAAAAATCTTTTCATTTCCCTTTACAATCTATCATTTATGGTGCTAGCATTCCACTTCTTTCCATATAAACTTAGAAGAATTTGTAGGGTCATTTTCAGTTGATCCCCAGGAGTTGGAGAGATGGTTCAGCATCCTGCTCTTCTGGAGCCCTCAAGTTAGGTTCCTGGCACCCATGGCAGGGTGTCCCACAAAATTGCCTGGAATTCCAGTTTGGATGTCCTTTTCTGGCCCCTTTGGGTACAGTGTACATGCACACACAAATACAAGTACAAGTAAATCTTTAAAAAAAGAGAATAAAGTGATCCTCAAAGCTGTGGTCTTCATGTGTTTCAAGAATTGTTTGGAGATTATTTATGAAGGGACATTCTCAAGCTGCTGGTTTAAGTAAAAAGAAAAAGTTTCATTGATAGCTTTTTTGTAATCTGCCATTTGTTTTAAATAATTTTTTATGATACGTGTAGTTTTCTAGAAACAAATTATTTACTCATTTAATTCTCATTAAGTTGTCTTGTTTATCATATTTACTATGGACATTGTATGACCTATATAATACTGGATGTTACACTTATTATAGAGCTGGTAGAGTGCTTGCCTAGCATGTATGAAGCCCTGTTTAATTCCCATCACAGTATAAAACTGGTGTGGTGACATACTCTGTAATCCCAGTACTTGGGAAGGGGATGAGTTCAAAGTTATCCTGGGCAGCATGAAACCCCTCTAAAACAAACACAATTACTGTTTTAAACTGGACTTTTAAAATGTCCAAGTAACAGGAGCAATAAAAGATTTCTTCTTCTTGCTCTCATTTGAAATACCATTTGTTCTAGCATCCTACCCAGAGAACAGCCAAAATAGTCCAGAGACACATTTGAAATATAAATGCAATAAAATTCATATTATGTTTCCCAAATAGCTAATGCATGTAGGCCTCTTTGTCATCTTTGCTGGAAGAAATCAGTCCGAGAGAGGGAGAATAGGGGAATGGAGGATGTTAGTCTTATGGCTACTTTAAATCCTGTCTTGATGGATTATTGAATTTCTTTGGGGAGACGTTTTTAAAATGTTAGCGCTTATACCATTTGGTTTGATCTTGTTGTTGGGAATGAAGGAAATAAGGATTGAAGTTGATGAAAGGCTTCACCTGGACAGTAACCCACTGAAATGGAGTGTGGCAGATGTTGTGCGGTTCATCAGGTCCACTGACTGTGCTCCACTGGCAAGAATATTCCTTGACCAGGTAATCATGACTAGCATAGCCTGTAATAATAATGTCTGTTTGGCAAAGAACTATGTGTATAATAGACAAAAAGTACAAGATTTAGAAAACAATATTTTGGTACAAAAGATCGTTGTAGTTCCCTTCTGTTACTGATATGACTTGTACCATAATTGCAGCAGATTATTGCTTTGTTTTCCCTCGAAATTTAATTCTATAAATATTTAAATAACTTAAAATTGGGCATATATTAATTGACCTCATCTTTTTAAAAATAATGATTTGATGCCTTTTTTTTTTTTTTAAGTTAGCATCTTTAATATGCCAGGCTCTAGAGTGATGACCACAAATAGTTACGGAAGATAGAAGATGTAGTGCTATTCAAAACAGCATCTATGACTGTTATCTCAGTCCTTGGATAGTTGAGGGAGGAGGCTCACAAGTTGGAGGCCAGCCTGGGCTACATAGTGAATTGGAGGCTACACAGTGAGACCACGTCTCAAAAGTAAAATAAAGGCCTGATCATCTTTGAAGGTTTTTATGAATTTTACAAGGTAGGAGAACATTAGTTATAGTTAGTATTTTCAGTTAGTTTTAGGTTTAGAAAGAGTCCTTTAGCCAGGCATGGTCTTGTACGACTTTAATTTTAGCACTCAGGAAGCAGAGACAGTTGGATCTCTTGAGTTCGAGGCCAGCCTGGTCTTCCAAAGAGTTCCAGGACAGCCAGGGCTGTTAAACAAAGAAACCCTGTCTAAAAAAAAAAAAAGAAAGAAAGAAAGAAAGAAACAAAGAAAAAGAAAGAAAGAAAGAAAGAAAGAAAGAAAGAAAGAAAGAAAGAAAGAAAGAAAGAAAGAAAGAAAGAAA